CAAATTAAACAATTTAACAGTAATAAACATTCAGTGGCGTCTCATAACTAGAATCATGATCCAAACTCGTCAATCGTAGTTCCATTTCCTGAAATTCATTGCACTGCTTATTCAAACGCCTGTTCAAATAACCAGGTTTTCACTTTCCTCCGGAATACCATCAATGAGGGGACCAATCTGATGTCCGTGGGAAGGGCGTTCCACAGCCGAGGGGCCACCACCGAGAAGGCCCTGTCTCTCGTCCCCGCCAGCCGCGCCTGTGTTGCAGGCGGGATCGAGAGCAGGGCCTCCCCGGAAGATCTCAAAGTCCTAGTGGGTTCGTAGGTGGAGATGCGATCGGATAGGTAACTTGGGCCAGAACCATCTAATTCAGACAGGTAAGCTGGGCCAGAACCGTTTAGGGCTTTATAGGCTAAAGTCAGCACTTTGAATTGTGCCCGGTAGCAAACTGGCAGCCAATGGCTCTGGGGTGGGGGGGGAATGGTTCCGTCAACAGAGGGGTTGTTGACAAAAAATAACAACAATAATAAAAAGAAAAAAACCAAAAAAATAAAAAATAAAAAAAAAAAAAAGAAAGTAAAAAAAGAAAGAAAAAGGAAAAATGCTTCCCGAGCCCCATTGTGCCGCCCCTGTTTAGTTGGTAATCATGGCTTCTGGTCTTTTTGTACTTGGCCACCCGCTGGACCAATTGATCTTCTTGAAGACCTACGTCTTCAATGGGGGCAACGCCCCCACGTAGATAGAGCGTTGCCGGAGTACAAAAAAAAAAAAGCAAAACAAGAAAAAAAAAAAAAAAAAAAAAGAAAAAAAAAGAAAAGAAAAAGAAAAGAAAAAAAAGTAAACCAGAGCGTGGACTACCGTGGCCAAGTCAGACTTCCCAAGGTACGGGCGCAGCTGGCGCACAAGCTTTAACTGTGCGAATGCTCCCCTGGTCACTGCTGAAACCTGGGGTTCCAGGCTCAGTGGTGAATCCAGGATCACACCCAAGCTGCGAACCTACGTCTTCAGGGGGAGTGCGACCCCATCCAGCACAGGTTGTAACCCTATACCTGTTCGGCCTTGCGACTGACCAGGAGTACCTCTGTCTTGTCTGGATTCAGTTTCAATTTAAGGGATGCTCTTTTACAACGTCATCTTTTACTACTAATGTCAGGATTATTTAGTTATGTATGTGTGTTTTTTCAATGTGCTTCTATGTAATTCAAGATGGATTAATACTAATGGTAAAATATATAATAGAACGTGAGCATCCACAGATTTTGGTATCCACAGAGGAGTTTAGAAACCAGACCCCAGTGAATGCCAAGGGCCTGCTGTAATCTCATGTCAGGAAGAATCTTTGTGCATGCACAGAGTGCCTGTCTTGAATTCCCTTCTCATGGGGCACTCAGGAGTTCCAGGCCTAGAAGCTGTGGCTTGCTAGGCAGCCTTCCAGAGGACTTGGCCCTTCCCTTCCACGAGATTCATCACTGGACCATTGCCTGCCATTGCCTTCTCTTCCAGGCCTCTCCTCTCCCTATTTGTTTTGCGGCACTCCTTCTCTTTGACCGAGGAATTCCGACTGGGAACGCTTCTGCAGGATTGCTATCTGCCAGGCTTTGGCCGGAGCTGTGAGGAGCGGGTCTGCTGGAACAGGCTGAGTTAGCAGGACTGTCTGGTGTGTTGAGGTTTTGGCAGGGAATGGAGCTGGAGAGAGCGCAAGACTTATCTGCTGACCCAGCTCTGTGGGACTGGGGTGTGGGGTTTTGAGATGGGACTGGGGCAAGGGGGGGTTAAGACAAAAAACAGAGGAAGCGTCTCCCCTCCACTGCCCTGGCTTTGCTGTGACTGTGTTTTCCAACCAGAGAATGCAAAAACAGAAATGAAAACATGGACAAGGAGACCAAGAATTTTCATGGCTCTGCAGTGATTTTCCCACAAATGTAGAGAGATGCAGCCAAAGAGTTGGATGGTCACAGGGAAACAATAAATACCATTTACCCCTCCTCTTGCTCTTTCGGACCTCAATCTCATGAGAAAATATTCAGATCAGGTTCGTCTTCTGTCCCTGAAGGTGATGGCAATTTTCTTTTTATATAGATTACACACCCCTGGTATACCAGGGTGTCCAAACTTTTAAATCTGAGGGTCAGTTCATGGTCCCTCAGCCTGCTGGAGAGCCAGAATATAGTTTGGGGAAAAAATGCATGCATTCCTATGTGCACTGTCTATGTCTTATTTGTAGTGAAAGAAAGAAAGAAAGAGAGAGAGAGAGGGAGGGAGGGAGGGAGGGAGGGAGGGAGGGAGGGAGGAAGGAAGGAAGGAAGGAAGGAAAGGAAGGAAGGAAGGAAGGAAGGAAGGAAGGAAGGAAGGAAGGAAGGAAGGAAGGAAGGCAGGAATAGAAAACCTGGAGCAAGCAGGCAGAGGCGGCCCTAGGTAATTTTCAACAGTAAGCAAATACTATTTTGCCCCCCCCCTCCCCCCCAATTAGTGATCAGTATTCTGTCATGGGAGTTCTGTGTGCCAATTTGGTTCAATTCCATCATTGGTGGAGTTCAGAATGCTCTCTGATTGTAGGTGAACTATACATCCCAGTAACTTTATTTGTCGTGTCAGAACAGAACAAAGCAAACAAACAGACAAAATACAAAACTTGTGAGTTTGGTAGTTGGTTAAATGCCCTTTGACCCTTTGGCCACTTGGAGTGCCTCAGGTGTTGCTGCAAGAAGGTCCTCCATCGTGCATGTGGCAGGGCTCAGGGTGCATTGCAGCAGGTGGTCTGTGGTTTGCTCCTCTCCACACTCACATGTCAAGGATTCCACTTTGTAGCCCCATTTCTTGAGGTTGGCTCTGCATCTTGTGGTGCCAGAGGCAGTCTGTTCAGCGCCTTTCAAGTCGCCCAGTCCTCTGTGTGCCCAGGGGGTAGTCTCTCATTTGGTATCAGCCATTGGTTGAGGTTCTGGGTTTGAGCCTGCCACTTTTGGACTCTCGCTTGCTGAGGTGTTCCAGCGAGTGTCTCTGTAGATCTTAGAAAACTAGTTATAGATTTAAGTCGTTGACATGCTGGCTGATACCCAAACAGGGGATGAGCTGGAGATGTCTCTGCCTTGGTCCTTTCACTATTGGCTGCTACTTCCCGGCTGATGTCAGGTGGTGCAATACCGGCTAAGCAGTGTAATTTCTCCAGTGGGGTAGGGCGCAGACACCCCGTGATAATGCGACATGTCTCATTCAGAGCCACATCCACTGTTTTTGTGTGGTGAAATGTGTTCCACACTGGGCATGCATACTCAGCAGCAGAGTAGCACAGCGCAAGGGCAGATGTCTTCACTGTATCTGGTTGTGATCCCCAGGTTGTGCCAGTCAGCTTTCGTATGATATTGTTTCTGGCACCCACTTTTTGCTTGATGTTCAGGCAGTGCTTCTTGTAGGTAAGAGCATGGTCCAGAGTGACTCCCAGATATTTGGGTGTGCTGCCGTGCTCCAGTAGGATTCCCTCCCAGGTGATCTTCAGAGCTCGGGATGCTTCTCTGTTCTTGAGATGAAAGGCACATGTCTGTGTTTTAGATGGGTTAGGGATCAGCTGGTTTTCCCTGTAGTAGGGAATCCCAGTAACCAAAACTAGCATATGTCAAGGTCTATTTTCCCCCAAGAGCGCCTCAAGAGCGCCCCTGGGCAAAATCAACTATACTGCAAATGCTTACTTTGCGTAATGGGTTGAGCCGCCCCTGCAGGCAGGGCAATTGGGGAGCCTGTCTGAATGCATCTCCCTTTACGAACCACTGCGGAAACTAAGATCTTCTGGGAGGCCCTTCTCTCGGTCCTGCCACCATCACAGGCACGTTTGGCGGGGACGAGAGACGGCCTTCTCAGTGATTGCCCCCCGGTTATGGAACTCCCTTCCTGTCAATATTAGATCAGCCTCCTCCCTCCTGTCCTTCAAAAGGATGGTGAAGACCTGGCTGTGGGACCAAACCTTGGGGCAGTGCAATGGGGCAAAATGGTGTCCTGATGTGGTTTTTAAGCAACTTTTAATGTGAATATAAGTGATTTTAATGTTTGTATATATTTATGGTCTTATGTCCCAGCATTGAATGTTTGCCGTATATATGTTGTGAGTCCCCTTCAGGGTGAAAAGGGTGGAATATATATATATATATATATATATATATATATATATATATATATATATATATATATGAATTTAGCAAAGAAATAAAGAAAAAATGTGGGGGGAAGAGAGAGAAAGAGACAAGGGGCCACTGGGATGGGATGTCCGAGGCCGGAGTCATCTGAGGAGAAGGTGCCACTTTATTGGGGTGAAGAGACTCAAGACGCTGCCACCTCTCTTTCTCTCTTCCCAATGAGCCTGCCTTTTCCAACCTGATCCCCAAGAAGGAAGGAAAGAAAGAAAGGAACGGATGAAGAGAGGAAGGAAGTCATGAAAGGAAGGGAGGAAGGAAGGAAGGAAGCAATGAAAGGAAGCCCGAAAAGAGAGGGCCAGTGAAAATTTGAAAAGGGGGTGCATCTTGTTGCACATAGCGTGTTTCAGTCAGGTCCATTGCAGATGACACAATAACATTGCACCCAGGCAAGAGGAAAAAGAACAGAAAAACTTTATTCTTATCAACAGAGTTCAAACATAAACTTGCAATGTTGCAAAACAAACAGTGCAATACAGAATAAGGCTTCTTCTTCATCATCCAAATGAGAGAGCAGTAGAAACGGTTGAGCAAATGCCTGAGCAAAGGCTCCTCAGAGCAAAGCTGAACTGTATTCTAAAACCCATACAGTTATACCCACCAAGTGTGGTCTAAACTTACTAGTTGACCTACATTAGCAGCTGCACATAATAATCAACAGTATAAGGTTTTCTTTAACACACACACACACACAATCCTGTTATGACTTACTGTAACACATTTGATGACTGGCGTGGCATCTGTTGTACATCAACATTGTGCAGTTACTATTCCTAACAATGCAGGTGTGGCTCTGAACAACATGTACTTCTCTTGCAGGTTGTGTGGGTTGTGTTTATGCTATGAGAGACTTCTTTTGGATGTTTCTGCTGGAGTGTTTGTGAATTTGGATCAGGATTGAAGAATGGCTCAGGTTCTACACATGGAGACTGCTTTTCCAGGTGGGTATATACTACTTTTTGACAAATAGCAGCTAAGTCTGTCTGTATTCTTCCTCTAATATTATTTAGCCAAATGTCCAAGTTTAGAAATGCATAGGTAGAGACATTAAGTTCTTATTGTTGTTTATGCTTACACCTTGGGAACTCTGACTTGGCCACGGTGATCCACGCTCTGGTTACATCCCGTCTAGACTACTGCAACGCTCTCTACATGGGGTTGCCTCTGAAGACTGCCCGGAAGCTTCAATTAGTCCAACAAGCGGCAGCCAGATTGCTAACAGGAGCAGGGTACAGAGATGCGATTAGCTTCCGTGCACAATTCAAAGTGCTGGTTTTGACCTATAAAGCCCTAAACGACTCGGGCCCAGTTTACCTGTCCGAACGGATTCTCCCCTATGAACCATCAAAGTTATTAAGATCTTCCGGAGGGGCCCTGCTCTCGGTCCCACCACCTTCGCAATCGCGTTTGGTGGGGACGAGGGACAGGGCCTTCTCGGTGGTGGCTCCTCGGCTTTGGAACTCCCTCCCACTAGAGATTAGATCTGCTCCCTCCTTCCTGACCTTCAGGAAACTAATAAAGACCTGGCTCTGGAATGTGGCATTTGAGGACTGAGACTATAACCTTCGTCCACATGGAAGGAGGATGATGAACTGTGACTATGACTGTATTGACGACTTGGCTTGTGTAATGAAGAGTGATGATGATGTTTTTACTGTACTTATATTTTAATGTGTAATGATGATGCACTGTGTTGTTTTTGTATATTATTATATATGAACACATGTTGTGAACCGGTCTGAGTCCCTCTTTCGAGGTGAGAAGACCGGTATATAAAACTTCTAAATAAATAAATAATGTTCAGATGGAATCTCCTTAATAACACAATAACAGTGTGAATGGTCAGCCCATTTTCAAGAGACATGCATCAGAAAGGAAGCTTTTATGCTGATTTACTTTCCCTTGTGCTTTGCAGGAAAGCCCAATCCCACTTCTGCTACATCTTTCCATGTGAAGGAGCAGGACATGCCTTATTCGGTCGAGACCCCCTATGGCTACCGTCTGGACCTGGACTTTCTCAAGTATGTGGACGACATTGAGAAGGGTCACACAATTAAGCGAATCCCAGTCCATCGGCGACCACGCTACAGTTCGTTGCCACGAGGGTATGGCTACACGGGCTCATGGTGGACTTCCACTGAGTCCCTTTGCTCCAATGTCAGCATGGACAGTCACCATTCGTCCTATTCTTATTGTGGGCGCAGCTTCTACCCACAGTACCCCAACACCACACCAGGCAGTTTTAATGCCCGCGTGGAGAAGACCTTGCTGGATGCCAGGAAGAAGCTAGAAGACCAGGCAGATTCAGGAGACGGGGAAAGGTGCAGAGCAAGTGGCCTTGGGAGCCTCCATAGTAGTGTGTCTGGGTCAACCAGCTCTTTGGTAGGAAGCCAGAGCCTTTCCCGCCAGACTTCTTATAATGGTTCACAACCGGGCGCTTCTGGACAATTTACACCAATTGGTTCTGGGTTGTCCACCCCAGTCTCCCCAACCCCAGGACACCTCCAGCATGTTCGGGAACAGATGGCTGTTGCCTTGAAAAAATTGCGCCTGTTGGAAGAGCAAGTCAAGATGATTCCCGTGCTTCAGGTGAAGATCTCAGTGCTGCAGGAGGAGAAGCGGCAGCTTAGTGTCCAGCTCAAAAGCCAAAAGTTTTTGGGGCACCCTGGGGGGTTTTGTAAGGGTAAGTCCAGGGGGGAGCTCTACATAGATATCCCTGAAGAGGGAGCAGGTGGGAATGCAGAGGAGGGCAAAGTAAGGTCTGACACTGGTCCCAGGCTGGATAGGAAGGAAGTGAGGTCAGTGGGTGTGGGTAGGTCAGCTGAAGAGACAGAGAGAGGTGAGGAGACAGCGAGATGTGATGTTGGGGTGGCAGTCAGGGAGGAGGAGCTGGGGTTGCCTTCCCCTGAGGAGGAGCGGCAGCGCCAAGCTGTTCAGGTTCTGTCCACCAAGATTGCCGTACTGGAGACACAGCTGAAAAGGGCACTCCAGGAACTCCAGGCTGCCCACCAGAAACTGGAGCATCGGAGTAGGGGACAGGAAGACAAAGAAACGTCCACAAGGGATGTGGGTCACCCAACAGAATGGGAAGTGAGGGAGGAAGGTCCAGGGCTTGCACAGAGCCTGCTAGATAACCCCATCCGGGTGGATACCATAAAAGTTGTCCAAGTTGAGAGGGAGCCAGAGGTTGTAGCTAGCAAAGCCACGGGGATGGAACATAGGCCGCAGAGGGCGCAAACGCTGGAGAGCAAGGAACCTTATGCCAGCCTCCGAGCTTTGGCAGAGCCTGAGGACAAGAAGAAGCCAGTGTGTACCACGTATCACAGCAGTGAGGTGATGGAGACCACTTTCCCAGTCCATGCTGGTTCAGCGACTCCTCCTTCCACATTCCACTGCGTGAAGAAGATCAGCATTGCTGGCACAGAAGAGGATGGGAATGGAAATGGAGACATAACAGGTAAGGGGCTGCGGCATCCGCTCAATTTGATAAGACAACGTTCACCTTGAAGCAAGGGAATATTTAGACTATTTCCCCACACATCCAGCCAGTTTCTCAGAGTCAGGCATGTAGCTGGGGGGGGGGGGGCTTTGGGGGATTCACCCCCCCCCCCCCTGAAATTCTCATGGTGGTCTGCAAAAAGGTCTTACTGGTACATTATTTAAATTGTTATATTTATACATATCATGATCTGATCACCATGCTCAATATATCTCATATAGGTCGTGTCAGGAGTGACTTGAGAAACTGCAAGTCGCTTCTGGTGTGAGAGAATTAGTCGTCTGCAAGGACGTTGCCCAGGGGACGCCTGGATGATTTGATGTTTTATCATCCTTGTGGGAGGCTTCTCTCATGTCCCCGCATGAGGAGCTGGAGCTGATAGAGGGAGCTCATCTGCCTCTCCCCAGATTCGAACCTGTGACCTGTCGGTCTTCAGTCCTGCCGGCACAGGGGTTTAACCTACTGCGCCACCGGGGGCTCCTGTGCTATCTCATATGCATGAGGGTATTGGGGTAATGATACAAAAGGTTTGCTAGGGTAGAACCTCTTTCACTCAGACTCACCCCCCCCCCCCCCCCGGAATCAAAATCCTGGCTACGGGCCTGCTCAGAGTGGTCTGTCATCTCTATGTAGTTTCCCTTCCTCCCTGCTAAATGGTCAAGATAAGCATCAATGCAACAAAATGAGAGTAAAGTTGCAGTCTTTCTAAACATTGTGAAATTGTCAGTTGTGTAGTTGTTGCATGACACCCCCAAATCCTGGCTATGAAGGAAATACAGAAGTCTTCCTCTGTCTTTTCCATTTCAGACAGTCCCCGAATTAATCCAAGGAATCCTGATCAGATTCCTTGGACTAACTTCTGACCACAGGCCTTCCTTTTCTCAGGCGGTATCTACAATGTCAAATTAATGCAGTTTGACACTGGTGTAACCACCACGACCCAATGGTATGGAATCACGGGAGTTACAGGGGAAGCCCCCGGTGGCACAGTGGGTTAAAGCCCTGTGCCGGCAGGACTGAAGACCGTCAGGTCACAGGTTCGAATCCGGGGAGAGGCGGATGAGCTCCCTCTGTCAGCTCCAGCTCCTCATGCGGGGACATGAGAGTAGCCCCCCACAAAGATGAAAAAAATCAAATCATCCAGGCGTCCCCTGGGCAACGTCCTTGCAGACAGCCAATTCTCTCACACCAGAAGTCACTTCTGACACGTCAAAAAAAATAAATGGGAGTTACACTTTGGTGAGTCTCTGAACTTCTCTGGCAAAGAAGGCTAAAAAACTTGTGAAAACCACAACTCCCCTGATTCCATAGCACTGAGCCATAGCAGTTCAAGGGGTGTCAAACTGCATTAATTTGACAGTGTAGATCAGGCATGGGTAAACTTGGGCCCTCTAGGTGATTTGGACTTTAACTTCCATAATTCCGGGTTGTGGTGCAGATGTTTGGGAGTCAGCTGCATTAAAATCACTACGGACCAAAAGGTCTTGAGTTCAAAGCCAGGCTGGGTTGGAGTAAGCTCCCGATCATTTGTCTAGCTTGCTGTCGACCTTTGCAGCCCGCAATCATAGAGTTGGAAGAGACCTCATGGGCCATCCAGTCCAACACCCTGCCAAGAAGCAGGGAAATTGCATTCAAAGCACCCCCGACAGATGGCCATCCAGCCTCTGTTTAAAAGC